CACTTGTTCTGCAATATTAAAACATCTCATAACATATATGTTCATATACAAAATTTTTTGCTTTCGTTTTGTTAAAAGCAATTCGTATAATATTATACTTATTTTCATAAACTTTTTTATCAAAAAGATATTCGTACAATAAACAAAAACTATGGAAAGAAGGAAAAATATAAACAACTCTTCCCTTGTAAAAATACTATAGTAAACTATAGTTTACTATAATATTTTGTTAGGGTTGTTTTGAATAAAACAAAGTATTAATTACATAACTTGACTTTTTCTACAATTAAAGTTTTTGACTAACATTTCCCTTAATTGAAAGCTGATTGGAAATTTTATAGAAGGAAATTGGAAATGCTCACAAAATAAAATAAAAGCTTTTTCCTTTGTCTTAAGAAATTTGAAGATTAAGAATAAAACATGCACAATGAACTTTCATATTGAGCTCAAATGATGATACATGGAATGTCTCAAAATGACTTAAAATTTTGTCCTATTTTTACTATTTCATCAATTTTTAACGGATCCGTGCTACATGTAATGCCATGCGCTACTTCAAAAAATTAAAACTAATGACTGTGCACAACAGTGATCAACAAGAGATGTTGGATCAATAACTTTTCTTTCAAAGTAACCATTCATAAGTCTAAACCCGATTTTTTTTTAGAATTAAGGTGTTATAAATTATAGAAGGGAAACGAAAATGTCACAAATATAAAAATAATAAAAGAGCTCTGCCATCACGTAATTACACATACATGTATTATTCTTTAAATTGAAACATACAAGGCTTGTTGGAAAAGTTCACGGACAAGTTCTATTGTGAGCGCGCTATACGTATATGTATATACGTATAAACTATACGTATTTTCCAATAAATATGCAAAGATTTGATGTTTTCCGATAATCCTAAAAAAAACTTTATTATTTACATAAAACATGCTTCATGTACCAAGTCACTTGTCGCCTGATCGCTCATCCGCATAGACATTGATTTTAAGAGCTCACTAATATCCCAAAAGACATTTGAAGGAGAGAATGTATCATATCTTGATATAGTTATTCAACTTTTAAGTAAAAATAAAGATATGAAAAGTGTATAGAAGTGTATGGAAACTAAAGATTTTTAGAACTGTGAAAAAGAATAAGAGGTTTGGAATCAGATTAGCACGTCAACTAACGTCTAGTAATTGCTTCGTGAATCCTATCACCACACAGTCAAAAAAAAAACAAACAAACAAACATTTTTTTATTACCAAAATTTAGTAAATGGACCTGTTTTTCTTGCATTCTAATCAAGAAAAAGAGATAAGAATTTAATCAGACATACGTCATTTTTCAAAGTGCACAAAAATTTTCCGTAAATGAATGTGTACGCGTATTTTTCTAACAACCCTCATATTACTGAGTTCTTAGATCTATTATCCATTGCCATTTCATGCGCATGCTCAGTTTCTTGATATCGTTATCATTTATAATGGATCCAGGTAATTCCTATAATTCTTGATATTTTATAAATTTTACCTACAAAAGCTAGATGTTATTTGTTAGATGTATTCGATATTTGACAATCCAAATATTATTTTCATAAACTAGATATTCTGGTTTGTTCAGGGAAGTATTTTCTTGAGGATTATTGTCTTGTTATGAAATGTTGTACTCTCACAGAGTTCTAGCACAGCTACATTTAATACTTTTTTTTTCACTTTATGAAAATGGCTGTGCATGCATGTATCTTTGGGTTAAATGTAAAAAGTAAAAGTAACAAATGGTAATCACTCTATAATTCATGTATACAAAACGAATCATAAACAGGGCAAAACCAAGGATCCCTGGAAACATCAAAAGGGGAATCAGGTGCCTATGAAGAAAAATTAATCACATCTGTTGAACAGCTACACCCGCCAAGTATTTTTTTTATATAAATACCCCTACGAAAACTTTAAAACTTTATCGTTTCTTCTTAGTGATATGAAGGGGCTCGGGATTTGAATAAATCCAAATCCGCATTGCATGGAGACAATTCCGTATGAGTCTCTTCTTTATGTCATACTCTTCTGGGTAAAAAGAGAGTATTTAAATTTTCAGAAAGTGTAAAATAATGAATCAGCTTAAACTCATCAAATATCTAGATGTCTTTATTAGAACAAAAGCAAAAACAAATTGAAGGAGAATCCACATATCTGAAAAAAAAAGAAAGTGCTAATTTATAATGCTTAGTGTTTGAGAATCAATAATACTTGCCACAGGATTATAATAATTGTCACACTATGTATTGATACTCTGAGTTTACTACATTATCAAACAAGTCCAAATGATGCAACAGACATCTCTAACAACTGACTGACTTCTAAAAATGCATGGTATGTAACATCACATTGATTTGACTATTCCTATTCTCAAAATTTTCCAACATATTACTTTGTAATTTTTAATATTACAATAACCATTACCATTACTCTTATTCAATAAAGTACTTATAATTAATTAAATTACAATTACTTTGTTAAAGTAATGAATTACATTACACATTACATTTTATAAGGAAAAAATCCCACATTTTTTAACACACAATTTATATTTATAAATTGACTTCCTCACACTTTGTGCTCGGTCAATATGCTTTCCCTCAGATCTATAAGTCAGAGTGGTATTTGGTAGTTTGGATACATTTATCAAGTTCATATATTTTACCAATCTACAGTTGACAAAGAAAGTGGATCGGAACCCTTTCAATGTTGTAATTTTTTCAGTCTCTGAAGTTAGTTTCCTTTTAAATAAATGATAAACAGTTCATACCATATGTTATATATAAAGTGATATTCAATTAACTTATAATACACGATTGTAAAATTAGTATGTAATAATAATTTAATGAATTAATTAGCTGGCCAGGCATAATCAATGAAGACAATACAAATAAAAAAAATAACACAATCAAAGGTGATAATTTCCAGAATCTATAGATATGGGGTTTGAAGTTAGAGGTGACTCTCAAGCTACCAAAAATGTGTGAAAGACAATATATCAATATTTACATTTGGCCTTGTTTTCCCTTTGTGTCTTGAAGTAGATCACACTGATCTTGTATCTTGCTTACCAAGTCCCTTTACCAGAATGAACTTTGTGAAAGAAAAAAAAATACAAGTTGAAAAATATAGTTTGTATCTTAATTGGTAGTCACAGTTTACATGTATTAATCTCACTTGTTTTGTGGCTATCTTTGAAACCTTATGATTTCTTTTAATATTTTTTTCTGGCTAACTTCAATTGATTATATTATAATTGTCTTGCAGGAAGTTTTCAATGAGAACAATTATTTAGTATGTCTGTCAATCACCATTGAATAAATATTTATAAATAATGGTAAGATGTAAATTTTTAATTTTAAAACTTTCACATTATAATAACAATTTAAAAAACTTCTCAGTGACATTGATTTGTTTTAGAATCAACAATTAAAAGAGATTTTAAATACAAAATGTAATTGAAAAGTAATGGTCATTTCTGACATTTTTTTTTTTTTTTTGAAAATAATGCATTACATTACAATTACTTATAACTGAAAGATGGATCCATTACACATTACATCCCATTACTTTGAATAAATTAATGATTACAATGCATTACCATCACATATTACCATTACCCCAGGTCTGCTACGCTTAACATTCTGACTACGGAGTTTATTATTAAACTCCTATTTATTACCCTAAACGACGCTGAAGATTTTAATTAATATGCATCAAATATCTAAATCTAGAAATTGTTTGCATATTGTTGAGAGACAATGGGAATTTATGATATATTTGAAGGGATTGTACCAACACTGGGGATACTGTTTATATGTAATAACTTTTTTAAATATTTCATTGTACATAATAACAAATACCAGTTTTACAAGTAGACCCACTGAAGAAGATATCTGAATATTAATCAGGTAAACTGCAGCCCTTGTTAAGAGATAAAGGTTTTCAACATATTTTCTCTTTCATGATCTGCAATGTAAAATTAATGAGGTCACAACCTCCCTCTCATAGGACATAATTTGAACACATTTTGATACTTTTTTGATTTAGATCAATATTTTTATCAAAGCTCAACTCAAGCAAAAATGGTTCTACTTTTAATAATGTTTGTTAAAAATTAAACACCTAATAAAGCACATGCCTAGTCTATGTAACTCTACATTCAGCATATTTCAACATTTACCGTATACAAAAATTACTCATTTTCACTTTTGACTCCTAAAAAAGCCCCACAGCCTCTTGGCTCTTCAGTGGGTGTTGAATAGTGACTATTACAATAGCAACATGACATGTTTGAAGTCATAGTTAAAACAATTGCATTAATTACATTTATCTTTAAATTTTAAATGTGAAAACAGAAATTGACTGGTTCTTGACAGATATGATTTCTCAGATATACTGTGCACCTTCTATGATATTGAAAATTTGTGTATAGGTTGTTTATTAGGAATGAGGATATCGAGGTGCTGATTTCTTTCTTTCTTATATATTTTTAAATAAATAATATCAGAGAAATTTCATGGAGGAAAAAAATCCAATAAGTTTGTGTCATTTTCAGAAGGGACTCGATTACTTTAGAAGGTTCGACTCTGATTTCTTAACAAATTTTTGTCTGGACCAATGTTTATAAAATTTTGCATCATATATCATTTTTAAAAATGTTTTATTTTTATTCTACAAAGCCAATTAAACTATATTCCATATAAATACGACGATTAAATTTCATACAAAAAGAAGTAACTGAGGAAGTATATTTTATGGCGGGAGGTTTCTCTTTCAAGGTATTTACGATACACATCTACGTCATTGCATAAATTGGTAACAAATGTGAATATGCATCTCCAAATGAATGAAAGAGAAAAAAGTCATGTTTTCTAAAATCTGATTCTCTGCTAGAAGTAACAATATATATTCTTCGTATCATTAAAAGACACCTACATTTACATTGTTTAAATAATATAATTTTTTCAGGAGATGGAAACAGTTTCTACAAAATTCTAGGCAAGAAAATTTATGGTGATCAAAACATGCACGTTTATATACGTCAGTCCATTCTCAACTATATGGAAAAAATGGAAGATCAATACAGACGATTAATCCAGTGTGGTCGAAATGAGGAATATAAACAATTCCTAAGGTTTGCTCAAGAACTAAAAATTTATCAGCAAAATTAGTTTGATATTAAACACAATGAACTATATGTTGTTTCTCAACAAACTGCCTCCAAGAAACATAAAACTTAAACTTTTATGAATTAAAGGATTATATATATATATATATATATATATATATATATATATATATATATATATATATATATACCAGAGAAAAGTATATATAAGATTTAAATAAGATTTATTTTTGTCATTAAACAGTCGCCACAGACGAGATGGTGAGATGCCTGACAGCGCTATCTTTCAAGCTGTAGCTGACTATTATGACATAAGTATTGCCATAAGATATAATGGAAATGCTCATTTTACTCACATTGTTAGAAATGGATCGGGTTCAGGTAACATCACTTGGGTTTTTGATTTATCCCTAACAAAAAAATATTATAGTTAACTATCAAAGTTTTTACTATAGTAAATCAAAGTATTTTTAAAATGGATTTCAGATGTTATATTTTACATTCCCCAATTTAAACATGTATATTTTTATATTAGATGGAATTATCACTTGTTTATTTACATGTTATTTCAAAAGTTTACATCACTAATATCAAATTTAAGTGAATTGCTAATATTTTAGCGTCTCTTCATATTCTACTTTTAATCAACGTTATTTTTAAAGAACATAGAAGACATGATGAAATTCGATTTGTCGAATTTGTATATAAAACCATATATACAACTCATACTAAGTGGTCATATTTTAGTGCATCATTACCAAGGTAGAGACAGGATATGGTCTACCTTACGTGTACTTGGTGTTACAAAAGTAATACCAGTTGATGAAGAGATGGACATGATGGATCAAATTTAGGTACAAAATTATTTACAGGCTTTTGGTAGTCAAAGTATAACATTTTGCTTGCATGATAAATCTTCAGGAACTCAATAAATCGAAAAAAGGTATTCAAATATAAAGCTGTACCTTGAGTAACATGATATTCATGTTTACACAACTGTTCTCTTGATTTTTTGACAACTTTGTAAATGTATGTATTGTATATATATATATATATATATATATATATATATATATATATATATATATATATATATATATATATATATATATATATATATATATATATATATATATATATATATATATATATATATATATATATATATATATATATATATATATATATATATATATATATATATATATATATATATATATATATATATATATATATATATATATATATATACAGTACCGACCAGACACAACCTAACAGAAAGCGAACCCAAAGCGCACCCTGGGTTCGCTGCCTGGGTTCGCTTCGGGTTCGCTTGGGGTTCGCTATAGCGGACCCCGAGCGAACCCGGAGCGCACCCCGAGCGAACCCGCAGCGGACCCAGAGCGAACGCCGAAAGCGAACCCCAAATTCAGTAGCGAACCCAGCAAGCGAACGCGCGTTCGGTGTTGCGTAACTGATCTGTCAATCATGATTAGCGATAAGAGTGTTAACCAATCAGCGTGTCGACCGATCAGCATGCCAGTTTGTCATTCGATGTAAATAAAACATTCTACAAGCAAAGCGTGTTTATGTACCGTGTGAAATTATTATTAACACGATTAAAAAAAAATATTTATATTTATAAATTAATATCTAGGTAGCATGTTATATTTACACATTTATTTTCTTTATTTTTTTTTTTTAAAATCCATCTATTTATATTGCGTAAATTTATCAGACAAAAAGTTCTTTAATGTATAAAAGAAAACAATGGTTTTCACAATTGTTACTAAAAAAAAAAAGAAAAAAAAAGTATTTTGACAAATTATAGCATTTCATTATCTCAAGATACTGTACAAGAGTATGTATATGTACGTGCTTTCATTCAATTATTTTATTTTTATAATTCTCATTTACATTTTTGTTTAAATCCAGATCAACATCAAAATTATTAATCTTCTTAATTGAAAAAAAGTAAAAAAAAAAAAAAAATAAATAAATAAATAAATAAATATATATAAAAAATGAATAAAGAACAGCATAAATGTACATGTACAGTATGTCCAATCGTAAACTGCTATGGTATTATTTTGATTTATCTTTTACAAAAAAATAATGTAAAGCTTGATTACCTTGTTATTATTATTATTATTATTATTATTATTATTATTATTATCATTATTATTAACTGAAATAAAAAGGAAAAAAAACAACGCGCGATTTACATGTACATTATTGAACGAACTAATTATCGGTAGTAAATAAGCAATATAATAAGTCGTACAGTATTGTATTCTTTTAAAAAGCGTAACTTTAAATGATAAAGCGTATATATAGTTAAGATGTTTAACGATTTTTTTTCTCTGATGATGGGTCACGTTAACTGCTTATTGTGGTCATGATATTTTTATATCAATACATCAGAAATGTACATTTTTACAAAAAAATTATTAATTCCCAATACTTACATGAATAATTAGTCGACAAATGTACACGACATGATTGTCGGGGTTACTTTTTATCCCTGATACTTATTATTATTTTAATTTCTGCAGATGAATGAATTTTAAAAAAAAAATGCTGATTTTTGAATTCATAAATGGAAAGATGAATATAAGTATTCATTCATTATTTAGGCCACTTTTTAAAATTTTTTTACCCCCATACTGCATATCATAAAATCCAATAGAATCAAAACTCACAGTCAACCTATATCATATGATAGAACATGCTGCATTCGATCATAAATTACATTTTTACGTATCAAAAAGATAAAAAAAAATTTAAGTCGGAGAATTACATTAATAATTATTTGTAATCTAAAATTCCTATTAAATCTTATTTACATGTAGTTTCAAAAATATTTTTTTTTTTATAATTTTTTTTCCCAGTTTTCCAAAGTCGATTAATTGCAGCAGTAAATATTTTTAATCTAAAATATCTATTAATAATTTTTTTTTTTTTTTTTTTTTTTTTTTTTTTTTTTTTTTAAATATCCACTCCTAAATATTTTTAACTATTTTGTGTAAAACGTGATCGTTCGTATATGTTGTCAACAATAACATTGCAGCCACTGCACATGCACATGTATCGATTGCCACTAAAACAACAATGATCGATTTCACTGCTGTATTTGGAATAAACAAGGGGCGGAGCTTACTGGCGGCAAGATTAAAGCGGGGTCCGCTTCGCGCATGAGTGCGTAAAGCGAACCCAGAAAGCGAACGCCGGGTTCGCTCTAGCGAACCCAGAGCTGACCCCGAGCGAACGCAGAGCGAACCCGAAGCGAACCCAGAGCGCACCCAAAATTTCTGAAAGCGGACCCGTAGCGGACCCCGAGCGAACCCAGAAAGCGAACCCGGGGTGCGCTTTGGGTTCGCTCTGGTGTTAGGTTGTGTTCGGTCGGTACTGTATATATATATATATATATATAAAACGAAGTCAAGATTGATAAATTCTATTTATATTACTACATTATTATATAAGTGCTCCACCTACTGTTTATGCCTTATTTTTCATTTATTTCTATCACTGAAAAAATATCTTAGATCGGTTTAAATCCACATTTTTTAATTCTTTTATTATTTAAACACTTTCTTTTCTTATAGTTTGAACGACACACTTTATCATAATTCATTTAAGCGTTCTTGTTTTGTCCTTCTAAGCTTCATTTTACGTTTGTTTCATTCTTCTGTGCAAAAAGTACTAAAATTATAGTTAAATTCAAACACTAAATCAATTCAATTCAGTACAAAACAATACATCACAAATGATTTATTTTAAAAATATGGGCTCCTGAGTGCATAATACAAAACACTTAATTACAAATATGCAGTCACAAATTCGTACATTCATAGTGGAACAGCAAACTGAAGGTACCAAGGGACAATGCAAAAGGAACAATATGAAAAATAGATTAGCACACTCTTCTTATTTATTATACAAATATTAGTTGATATTATCAGGTCTGTTCCTTCTCATGCCAGGAATTGGGGCTTAAGAATATTTATTCAATGATTAGGTGAACTGTAAACATAATTCACTCACAGTACAAGTTGAATCATTCAGAGACAGTACTATTCGAGGGTTTTCATTATTCATCAAACACAAGAAATTTCCAAATGCCGTCAATTATGGAAGTTAGTATATTCTTCTTTGATTATTTGTAACTTTTTTTGTCTTTCCTCATTAAACATATCACATCACAATAGAAAATGCATTTTGTTATCTAAATTACAGTGTGAACATATTCGAAGATCAGTGGATATATCCAGATTTTTTTTCCAATTTTAATGAATTACTTAGTGCAAGAAATTTTAAACCTTGAACAATTTCTAAAGAATTTGTTTTTATTAATTGATATTTAAAAAAAAAAAAAAAAAAAAAAAAAAAAAAAAAAGATATTTCAAATAAATGTATGTTTGAAGTGTTGAAATCTAAAATCTTTTCTGACTTTCTAAATCCCATTGAGAAAAATATAATGATTTAAGGGCAATATTTATGTATCTATTATTGTTCTTGGACCTCTGTCTACATACTGAATGAAACTGAAAGGATATTGATGAATCTGCATCAAGATGTGTTTCTTCTATAAGTATCAAGTAAAAATTTTCAATTTACTTCAAAAAAGTGGGACCATGACTTTTGAGCTCACCTGGGGAGTTTAAATTGTTAAAATGAAGGGCCAAGTACCCTAACAAGTGTATATATTTAAGAAAAGAAAAAAATAGGGTGGGGTCATAAAAAAATCATCTCAAGAACCACTGGGCCAGAAAAACTGAAACTTATGTGAAAGCATTATGGGATAGTGTAGAATATAAATTGTTTAAAGCATGATCCCCAGGAATAGGTTTGGGCCACAATGGGAATCAAAATTTTTACGTTGAGATATATAGTAAAAATATTTAAAAATCCTTTTCTTAGGAACATCTGGGCCAGAAAAGCTGAAACTTGAATGGTAGCAACCTGGTATAATGTAGATTCTAAAGTGTTCAAATCTTGACCCCTGGGTCAATAGAGAATCAAAATTTTACATTAAAATATATATTAAAATTTTTTTAAAAATCTTCTCAAGAATTTCTGGGCAAGAAAATCTGAAACTCATGTGGAAGCATTCTGGGGTAGTGTAGATTCTAAATTATTCAAAGCATGAACCCCAGTTCTAGGGTGGGGCGACAGTATGGGGATTAAAAGTTTTACATTGAAATGTATAGGAAAAATCCTTAAAAATCTTTTTTTTTTTCTGAAGAATCACTGGGCCATGGCCAGGAAAACTTAAAAATGTTTTAAAGCATTCGAGAATAGTGTAGATTTTAGTGTTCAAATCATGACCCCTGAGGAAAGGGTGGGGCCACAATGGGGAATTAAAGTCTTACATTTAAAAATATCTTAGAAAAATCTTTAAAAATCTTCTCAAGATCTACTGGGCAAAAAAAGCTGAAACTTATATGGATGCATCCTGGGATAGTGTACATTCTAAATAGCTCACATCATGACACCAGGGAGAAGGGTGGCGCCAGAATGGGGAATCAAAGTTTTACATTGAAATTTATAGGAAAAATATTTAATTTTTTTTTCTCAAGAACCAGTAGGCCAAAAAAGCTGAAACTTATGTGGAAGCATTCGGGGGTAGTGCACATTCTAAATTGTTTACAGAATGGACCCGACGGGTAGGGTGGGGCTACAATGGGAAATCAAAGTTTTACATAGAAAAATATAGGAAAAACATTTGAAAATCTTCTTCTCAAGAATTACTGGCCTAAAAAAGCTGAAACATGAATGAAAGCATCCTGGGGTAGTGTGATTTTATAGTGTTCAAATCATGGCCCCCATTGGATGAGTGGGGCCACAATTG